GAAGGAAAACAAATTAGAAAATCTGTCATTCATTTTTTTCCCTTATTAATGATAAGAAACAGTGTGAAATAATCAGAGATGCATGCTTATAGAAAATCTGCAGGAAAGGGCAAAACACAGAGGGAGAAAGATATGGTAAAAAAGGAAATATAAGTTTTTAATAATTTTTAGTAGGTCAAAGATACTGTTTAAGAACAAAAACATGCATTATACGGAACTTTATTTATAAAGCATGAATAACAAATCTGCAGTCAAACCCCTTTTATATCAAGTGAAGTCCCTGGGTGGTGCAAACAGCTAATGTGCTGAACTGCCAACTGAAAGGTTGAAGGTTTGAGTCCAACAGATGTGCCTTCGAAGAAAGGTCTGGTGATCCACTTCTGAAAAATCAGCTATTAAAAACTCTAACTTTTTAATACAGTGAAATCCGTGAGAGCCGAAACTCAAGGGGACTGCCTTGATTTTCCAGGTCTTGCAAGTTTTCCGTCTTTAAGAGGGTACAGTCTTACCACTTTTCTATCTCTCTGTATTAGTGGAGAATATTTGAGTTTTCCTTCTCCGACAGACTTCTGCCTTACAGATTCCGGCTTTCACAGGTTTTACTAAATAGTATCTAGTCCAAACCAAAAAAAAAAAAAACAGACCCACGGCCTTCAAGTCAATTCTGACTAACAGTGACCCTATCTAGTCCAGGTTAACATACTAGATTACGTATGTCCCTAGTAAATGTTGCACTTTTCTCTGTATAGGTAATTATTTTCCAAGTTCTACTCTGCCCCCTGAAATTTTTATTTGAAGAAAATACAGAGTAGAGCTACTTCAGCTTTCTGCTACATGACAAATATCAAGACTCAACTTCTATTCACCCTTAACCTACTAAGGTAAACCAGAACATTCTGAACAAGACTGAGAAATATTAATGTTTATTTTCTTTTTCCCTGTTTGCAGTCTTTTTGATTACCTTGTTTTTCCCTGTTTGAAGTCTTTTCTATGTTCCATTTAGACCCTTCCCCTAAATTCAGGTACCCAATACTCTAAAAATCATTAGGCTCTCTTCACTTGTTTATAGTTACAGATAGATAATTAAATAGACAGACAGACAGATACAGAAATAGATAGGGGCAGACAAAATAAACAGTTGCTTATTAGTTGATTAGCTGATCCTAGTTAATACACATCCACAGGTCCTGAGACCTCAGTCAGGCCAATGCTCTCATCCTGCAGAAATTGAGTTATCACAGAGTGGGATTTCAGTCACATCTGGCAGAAGTCAGATCAGAATGCACAAAGGAAAATAAGAAGACTTTGGAAAATGAAAAGGAAGAAGACTGTCAATCTCCATTTTTAAGCCTCCCAACCTGATCAGCCTCCAAAGGTAACACTAGCCTCTCCACAAAGGAGAATGCTTGGGTGAAGTGAAGTTCTCATTCTCCTGCTCAATCTCAGAACTCAGACACAGAGCAGCAATCTCCTACAGACGGTGAGAGAAAAGTAGTTCCAGCTCAAACAACAGAGGTAAGACCAGAAAGATGAAAATAAGGTAGATGGCGTAAGTGTCCCAAAATGGCAAAGTGGGAACTCCAGCCATGGTCCATGGAGAGAACAAAGACCAATGAAAGGAACATGATAGAAAAGATGGCAAAAGGATCAAGATCCCAGATTTGTCTCTAAGCCAAAGAAACCTGAAGAAAATCCAACCTCCAAGTTCACCACTGTGCCACCAGGGATCTGTAAGTATAAAATACAAATGTCAAAACTTTTAAAAGAAAATATAGTAGAATGGTTTTGTGCCCTCCAGATGGAAGGATTTCTTCAATAAGAGAGAAAGCATACTAACCATAGAAAAAAGAGTGATATTTTTGTTACATGGAAATGGAAAACTTCTGTTTATCAGAAGATGTCATAAAGATAACTAAAAGGCAAAGCACAAACTGGGAGATATTTATAAAACATAAATAACTGAAGATTAATATTCAAACTATATAAAAACATCTACGAATAACAAGAAAAAGAACACGATAGGCAAATGGGCAAAAACCTGAACAGGAATTTTATAGACAAAGAAACTTGTAAGGTCAATAAACATATGAAAAGATGCAGAACGTCATTATGCGTCAGAGAAATACAAGTTAAGACCCCATGAAGTATTTTAACATTCACCAGAATGGTAAAAACTAGGAATTTTGACAGTACAGGTATCCTCTGCTTTTCGAAAGTTCACTTTACATCACTTGGCTTTTAGGAAAGACCTACATTAGTACCTGTTTTTGCTAACTGAAAGGAATATGAAAAGGATTTTCACTTTCATGAAAAAAAGGCGAAAAGCGGAAATGGCGTTCAGTGTTTGTTGTGCAGCGAGCCATTAAAGAGGCAGAGCACACCCCAAGCGGCGAGTGGTGTCACCAAGTTCCTTCCCTGGGAACTACACTCAGCACTTCAGCATCAGGCTATCATAGCTCTGAACTGTGTCTGAGCATCTGTGCTTTATCTTGATTTATTTTGCGCATCCATTAGCACTATGTGTTCTAAGATATCAGAAAAGCCTAAGAGAGCTTGTAAGGGTGTTACAGTTAGCATAAAACTAGATGCAGGTTATTTTTGGGGTCTGGGAACACTCAAAAATTTTTCCTATATAAATCATTGGTAATTGCTTCTTTGCTTTACACCATTTCGACTTACAAAAGGTTTCATAGGAACGCTCTACTTTCAGATAGTGGAGGGAACCTGTATCAAATAATGCTTAAAAAAATGGAGTAGTGGTCACTTTCATACACTGCTAGTAGGTGTCTAAACTGGTGAAACAATACGTGTCTAAATGTTGGAAAACAATTTGGCATTATCATGTAAAGCTGAATATTTACAGGTCCTTCAGTGAGCAATTCCACTCCTAGATACATACTATAAAAAATTTTGGACTTGCTTATCAAGTAAAAGCATTCATCATAATAACAAAAACACTAAACACTACTCAAAGTCCAGTGGTAGAAAAATGGTTAAATGATTAGGATAGCTCACACAACAGAGCACTATACAGCAGTGAGAATGAATTAACTTCAGCTGTAAGCAACAACATGAAAGTATCTTAGGAACATACTAGTGAGGTGAGGGGAGATAAATGGGACTTCTGAGCATTAATATCTTCTCATTCAGTCTTACCTCAACTTTAACATTCTACACCAAAGGTCATCAATAAATTCTTCCAACTCATAATACATGTGGTATGGCCAAATCCACATAGTCCAAAAATAAGTCTCCATGATTATTTTGCTGTTATAAATTTGAATGTGTGTAGTGAGATTTTTTTTTCCTATGTATTTCTGTATGATGCTTGAATGTTTTCCTTGAAATGTATGAAGATTTGTAATTAATTTTAATTAATTATAATAAAATACCATTTGTGCAAGCTTTAAAAAGCTTACAAACACAATGATTATAAAACTCAAAACAACTGGCTACCACTACTGAACATTTTGATCAAGGATTCTACATTAGAATCCTGATCAAAAGGGGGAAATCAGAACAGAATTTCAAATTCTTGTATTCCAGGCTTTCTGGAGCCATGAAGGCTAGATGAATCAATAAAATTCAGACAACCTTTAAACCTTAAACCAAAAATACCTTCTGAAGTCTTCTTAAACCAAACAATAGTTTAGCTTAACTAGTAAAAAGTAGTATCTGCCTTGAGCACTATGTTCTTTTAAGAATTATCTATACGGGATCAAACTGACAACTGCGAGTCAAAAGATGAAACAGAAACCTTAGAGGGCAGTGAGTTTACGTTAACGGGGGAGGAACAAGTCAGAAAAGGAGGGTGAGAATGGTTGTACAACTCGAAGAATGTAATCAATGTCACTGAATTGTCCATGTAGAAACTGCTGAACTAGTGTATATTTTGCTGTGTATATTCTCAACAATTAACAACAAAATAAATAAAATTTTAAAAAGTCAAAAAAAGAAATATTTTTGTGGTAATACTATAAAAAAAAAAGTGGAAGTGATGGGAAAAAAATTCAGGGTATCAATTACTTTGGGTGGGGGGAAGAGGGTAAGGAAGAACATGGGGTTACAGAGGCACACACGTAGCTGTTTAACCATGTTGTTATTGACCTAGTTAAGCTGAATGGTTGGCGCATAAATTTTTGTTTTTATTATTAACTTCCATGTTATATATAATCGGGTATAGTCAAATGAAATCATTTTTAAAACGTTAAAGAATGCATGGAAAGCAAAGAAGTAGAGACAGGAAAGTGTAGATGACTAATTTAGCAAGTTTGATGGTAAGGGAATATGTCTGTGGCCTGTGAACAAAGAGAAGGGAAAGGCATGAAACTTTCACACACATGGCATAGGGTCTTCAAACAAAAAGACAACACTTCTTCTTCAGAGTAATAAATGAGAGACTTAATGATAGGTGAAGGTACTGATTTTATTTGGAGGCAGACAGAAAATCGAGGAACTTCATTAGTGAATTGGACAGGTAATTGTTGAGAATAAAGGAGACAGGTGTAGACTTAGTTATTTGAGAAGAATTTTAAAATTTAAAACTATGGATACCGAGAAATGGTGTCAACGAGCTAAAAAGATTGTTAGCTCTACTACATGAAACTCTCTGTACTCTTATCCCCACCCCCACCCCCACCCCCCAATCGATTTCTCTTTTTATTCTATATAAACCAATCCTCAGATTCAGGAGTACAAGCCTCTGGTAACCAAATAATTGCAAATTTTAACTGCAAAAAAATTGACAGAGATGGTTCAAAATTGGCACCATCCTGGCTTTAAAAGGGAAGATATACAGTAAGTAAAATTATGAATTTCAACATACAATTAGTCTTCACACAACAAAGTTGTGTGGCGCTTAAAATAGAATGTATTTTTATATGCCATGTTTTTATGACAACACAGCACTAAGTCTACATAGGTATAATTAACTATCAACATGATGGAGTTTGATTGTTAAATATTGTCTTAGTTTAAACAAAAATTGTGAAATCACTTACTATGTACCAAGAACTGTGCCAGACACTGAGGATACAAAGATGAGTAAGACACGATTCCTTCTTTCAAGGAGCTCATAGTCCAGTGAGGAGACAAACCTGTAAACAAATAAATTGCTTTTAGTGTGATCCTTACTAACACACATACAAAATGTAAAATAGTAAACCTGGGGTACACAAGGAGGATAATCCAACCTATAGGGATTAGGAAAGGTTTCATAGAGAAGATAACCTTTGAGTATACTGTGTTTTGAAGTGAAATTCTCCAAGCATCATCTAAAGAAAGGATGGAGTGTTTAAAGAACTGATGTATGTAATACAAAGGAACATAAGGATGGTGTGAAGTGATAAGGCTTAACAGGCAACCAGGGTAGGGTCTAAATTGCATAGCACACTATAGAGTAGTTTATATGATATTCTACATATACCATGGATAGTGGTTTAAAGTTTATCTTGAAGGTAACTGATAGACACTAAAGGGTTTCAATAATGAGCATTACACTTTGGAAAAATAATTTTGACAGCACTGATATTAGATTTAAGGTAGCAAATTAATTTGAACTAGGGCATTGTTAGTGGAAAGAAAAAAACTAAGGATATGCATAAGATTTTTCACCAGATGACTATGACATACCTGACGGTTGGAAAGAGGAAGGAGTCTGAACAAATAAAATTTCCCACTTTGCCATCCAGGTGGAGTGTAAGAAGAAGAGCAATCTGGGAAGACAATACTGTGCGAAGTTTTCAAGAGTCAACTCTGGGGACAGACTATTTGGATTTCATTTCCAGTTCTGCCACATAAGAGTCGTGCGACCAAGTTAGCTTCATAGCTCCTCTCTTTAGCAGTAGAACAGGAAGAAAAAAGGCATCTATCTCACGTTGTAATGATGATTAAATCAGATAATACATGTAAAATCCTTAGCACTTGGAGCGTATGACACAAAGTAATCACTCAAAAAGGCTACAACTGTTCTTACTGTGGGAGAAGAAAGGTTAGTAATAAAAGGAAGAGCTTTACTTTGGACATGTTGTTCACAGGAACTGTTAACAACCAGGTGGAGAAATTTAATAGACACCTAGTGGCGTAGTGGTTAAGAGCTGCGTCTGCTAACCAAAAGGCTGGCAGTTCGAATCCACAAGATGCTCCTTGGAAACTCTATAAGGCAGTTCTACCCTATCCTATAGGGTTGCTATAAGTCGGAATCGACTAGATGGCAACGGGTTTGTTTGTTTTTTTTTTAACGTATATAAGTATGCAGCTCAGGAAACAGGTCTACGGAGAAGAACTATCTTGTAGTTAGTCCTTGCAGGGGGTATTAAATTCACGGAAGAATATGGGCTTGTTCACGGAGGAGATATTTTTGGATAAATGCTGAGTGGAATCAGTGAGAGTGCTGATCAACTACTGCTGAGAAGTACTAATACAGATATGAGTACTTATCACAAATCCACAGGGACAACAATCTGAATGACGATATGACTTTTCTTCAGCTATCCTTGGTCCCCAGGATAAAAGGAGAGAGAACTATAGGGCCAATTCTAGTTCAGGGATTTATAAAGTGAGTGTGATGGTGGGAAAAAAAAAAAAAAGTCTAAATTTTAATAAATCTTAAAGCAAATTTGGTTATTTATGCAAATGAATTAAGGTCATAATCTATGCCTAGAGGCTATGGCCAGTTATATATAAGCTGATTATGTCAGTTCAACCCTTGAAAAATGCCACAGGGCAGTATAAATGTTCACTATTATTCAACTACAAAGAAAACAGTCTTAAATGTACATAATAAACTACATTTCCAGTTCTTGAGATTACAGATCTACTAAATCATCACTTAAAAGATGTATCTTAACTGCCTTACTTCAAGATCTCTTTTTTTTTTTGTACTTTAGATGAAGGTTTACAGAACAAACTAGCTTTTCATTAAACAGTTAGTACACTTATTGTTTTGTGACACTGGTTACCAACCCCACAATATGTCAATACTCTCTCTTCTCGACCTTGGATTCCCTATTACCAGCCTTCCTGCCCCTCCTGCCTTCTAGTCCTTGCCCCTGGGCTGGCGTGCCCCTTCAGCCTCATTTTGTTTTATGGGCCTGTCTAATCTTTGGATGAAGGGCGAACCTCAGGAGTGAATTCAGTACTGAGCTGAAAGTGTGTCCGGGGGCCATATTCTCAGAGCTTCTCCAGTCTGTCAGGCCAGTAAGTCTGGTCTTTTATCAGTCAGAATTTTGTTCTACATTTTTCTCCAGCTGTCTGGGACCCTCTACTGTGATCCCTGTCAGAGCAGTGGTGGTGGTAGTCAGGCACCATCTAGTTGTACTGGACTCTGTCTGGTGGAGGCTGTGGTAGTTGTGGTCCATTAGTCCTTTGGACTAATCTTTCCCTTGTGTCTTTAGTTTTCTTCATTCTCCCTAGCTTCTAACTGGGTGAGATGAGTGGAGTATCTCAGATGGCCGCTCACCGGCTTTTAAGACCTCAGATGCTACTCACTGAAGTAGAATGTGGAACACTTTCTTTATAAACTATGTTATGCCAGTTGAGCTAGATGTTGCCCAAGACCATGGTCCCCAAAGCCCCCAGCCCAGGAATTCAGTCCCTCAAGGAGTTTGGATGTGTCTATGGAGCTTCCGTGACCTTTCCTTGTACAAGTTGTGCTGGTTTCCCCAGTATTGTGTACTGTCTCACCCTTCACCAAAGATACCACTTATTTCGTGCCTATTTAGTATTTCCCCCACACCCCTCCCATCCCTTGTAACCAACAAAGATTGTTACTTTTTGTGTAAACTTTTTCATGAGTTTTTACAATAGAGGTCTCATACACTTGTCCTTTTGTGACTGACTTATTTTACTCAGCATAATGTCCTCCAGTTTCATCCATGTTATGAGATGCTTCATAGATTCATCATTGTTCTTTATTGTTGTGTGGCACTCCATTATGTGTATGTACCATAGTTTGTTTATCCACTCATCTGTTGATGGGTATCTAGGTTGTTTCCATCTTTTTGCTATTGTGAACAATGCTGTAATGAACATGGGTGTGCATATGTTTATTCATGTGACGGCTCCTATTTCTCTAGGATATATTCTAAGCAGTAGGATTTCTGCATCATACGGTATTTCTATTTCTAGCTTTCTAAGGAAGTGCCATATCGTTTTGCAAAATGGTTGTACCATTTTGCATTCCTACCAGCAGTGCATAAGAGTTCCAATCTTCCCACAGCCTCAACGTTTATTTTCTGTTTTTCTGATTTGTGCCAGTAACGCCGGAGTGAGATGGTATCTCATTTTGGTTTTGATTTGCATTTCTCTAACGGCTAGTGACCGCAAGCATTTCCTCAAGATCTCATTCTTAAGTCAGAAGGAAAACTTAAAAAAAAATTGTAATAATTAAGATTTGATTCATTTGCATGCTATTATTGTTGTTTGGCGCCACTGAGTCAGTTCTGACTCATATAGTGATCCCATGTACAACAAAATGAAACACTGCCTGGTCCTGTGCCATCCTCACAATCGTTGTTATGCTTGAGCCCACTGTTGCAGCCACTATGTCAACACATCTCGTTGAGGGTATTCCTCTTTTTCACTGACCCTCTATAAGCTTGATGTCCTTCTCCAGGGATTGGTCCCTCCTGATAACATGTCCAAAGTATGTGAGATGAAGTCTAGCCATGCTTGCTTCTAAGGAGTATTCTGGCTGTATTTCCTCTAAGACAGATCTGTTTGTTCATCTGGAAGTCCATGGTATATTCAGTATTCCTCGCCAACACCATAACTGAAAAGCATCAATTCTTCTTTAGTCTTCCTTATTCACTGTCCAGCTTTCACACAGATGAGGCAACTGAAAACACCTTGCTTATATCAGGTACACCATAGTCCTTAGAGTGACATCTTTTTCATTTGCATATATGTATAGAAATAAGCCCTTGAAAAGCCAGAAAAATACTGTCACATATCTGCCCACATCAATTAATAAACATACTTATTGGCTGCCTAGTCTGTAAAGAGAAATCCTTGGGTGGTGCAGTTAATGCACTTGGCTGTTAACTGAAAGGCTGGAGACTCTAGTCTACCCAGAGGAGCCTTGGAAGAAAGGCCTGAAAACCTACTTCTGAAAAATCAGCCATTGAAAACTCAATGGAGCACAGCTCTACTCTGACACTCACGGGAGTCACTGTGAGTTGAAGTCGACTCCACAGCAATTGGCAGTCTGTAAAGTGGGTACAGCAAGGGTTCCAAAATAGTAGAAGAGAGTCCTGGCCTCATTACTGATTGGGTTTTGAAGACATCGTTAACACACAAGAAAGAACTCAGTAACAAGATAAGATGGTACATATTAGGTGCTAGAGAAATTTAGTCAAAAACGTTTAATGAATGGGGAACCTAGGAAATCAGGAAGCCTACTTTTAGACAGTCATTGTATCAACAGCACAAAATTTAAAACTCAATGAATATATATAGCAAAGAAAAAGAGAAATGGATTAACTAAGCAGCCTCCTTCCTCCTAAAATACCCAAGATTCAGCAATTCTAAGAAAGCAAAGTATTTCATAAAAACATAAACTGTTTATTTTAATAAAAATACTTATCTAATCATAGGATCTAATAGCTGCAGGTTTTAATCCTCCATCTTTCCGTATTTCCCAATTTCAAAGCTCCTTTTACTGCACAGAAGCCCTGATGGCACAATGGTTAAGAATTTGGCTGCTAACGAAAAGCCAGCAGTTTGTATCCACCAGCCACTCCCTGAAAACCCTGTGAGGCAGTTCTACTCTGTCCTATAGGGTCGCTATCAGTCAGAAACGAGTTGACAGCAACAGGTTTGGTTTTTTGGTTTTTAGTGCACAACATATGGAACCTTAGGGAGGATAACAGGAAGCATTTTTTATGGAAAAAATTTGTCTCCCAAATGCCAAATTTCCTAAGTTAATATTAGTATAGTTGAAGAGAAAAATTAATAACAGACATCTTGTTTTGATTTTAAGGCTTTCCTTACCCACGACACCAAATATTAACCGTCAAAAATTCCTGACCAAAGTAGGGCCAGGATGGCAGAGTAGTCAGACACTTCCTATGTCCCTCTTATAACAAAGACCTGAAAAAACAAGTGAATCGATTATATATGACTATCTAGGAGCCTTGAACATGAAAGGCAAAGTTGAGGAATCAGGCTGAGTGGCGGGGGGAGGGAGAGACAGTTTGGAAGCAACGAGGAGTTGCCAGACCTGACCCGGTGGGAGCCGCAGCCCTTCAGCCCAGATCAGCTCAGGGTGCACAGTGAGGTGGGCAAACAGCAGCACTTGGGAGGTGTCTTCCACACTGGAAGAGACCCAGTGGCACAGAGTCTACTCGGCCACCCAGAATGAGTGAAAAGTAGCACTCAAGCAGCTAAAGATAAGTACTTGCGTGTGGCTTACCGCGGGGATTTAAAACAAAACAAAACAAAACAAAAAAATACCCAATTTGGGAAAAACCTCTCTCCCATTTACCTCCCCCTCTCCCCGCTCTGCACCAGGTCCCAGCCAGCTTCAGCGATTGATGAGTCCCCTGGGCCGGAAGTAGGTCCTTAAGGCGCCCTGAGTCATTCTCCCGGTCTTTGAGAGGGAAAATATTAACTAACAGGGAAAAAATAAGCTACCGGCTCCCCTAAGCCACGACCTCAGGGTTGGAACAGTTCCTTTGCCTAGTCACAGGCATAAGGGGTCCACAGACTTTAAATGCCTTTCACCCCTGCATAGGCTTGTGTGGGCCCATTTCAACAGTGTAAGCCCTCCCTACCACAGTACAACCGGGTATATACTTGAAGTCCAACTTGAACTATTTCAGCTGTAAAGTGGCAGGCTTGTGACTTTTGACAGTCCTCTGCCTATTAAGCAGGCTGCCTGCCTGTCCGATTCAGGGGCTTGAGGACTGGTGGCTCCACCTACGCCACCTGCGACAGGGGTCCAACAATAAGTGGTGCCCCCCCGCCAAGTCCTTACAGCCAACAGTGCAGAGTGCTCATAGTCTGACCGCAAAACTCACCTACCTACTTGCTCTAGGGAGCAGGGACATGCTTTCCTTTCAGACACTTGGGCAGCCGTCAGCCCCTGCCTTGCTCAGTGTGTGACCTCCTACTGCAGCCAGATGCCTGTGCCTACACCAATCACCCATGCCTCTCTAAGACTGTAGGTGAGAGACTGCACCACACACTTGGTGATCGACTACCCGGACACCTGAGCTGAATCCATACAAGAAAATTTAATGGACTCCCGTACTCACACACTTAGCAACAGATCTAACTACATGCTAACAGGACGTTAGAGCTTCAAAGGCACCAATAATCAAACTAGCACACACGAGCAGCCTATTTGGACATATGAAAACAAAACAAAACAAGAAGATGGGACACACTAAGCAAATATAAAATTATAATAAAATAATAACAACTTATTGATGGCTTGGAGACAACAGTCAGTATCAAATCATATAAAGAGGCAGACCATGATGGCTTCAGCAAGTTCCCAAAACAAAGAATCAATAAATTTTCTGGAGGAAGAGAGGCAGAATACAAAA